CTTGAGCCACAGGTGCCGAGCCACCATGACTGTCTTGATGAGCATCATTGTGAGGGAGCAGAGGCGAAGGGGTAAGAAAATAGTCAAGGAGGGCTTCCTGGAGGAGGTGACAGCTAGCTGAGTTCCAAAGGGACAGAATAATGCCAGTGGAAGGGGAGCAGGGCAAGTAGATGCTCCCAGATGAGGGTACAGTCTCTGTAGAGCGGGTGGTAGGGAGAGTCTGGCTGGAGTAAATGTCTCTTGTGAAGCCTGGAGTGGGTGTGTCCACCAAGGGGCCTGGGCAGGTGTGCAGCACCAAATTCTGGCCACATCATTATGACAGGGACAGGCCAAGGAATTCTCTCTCCCTCATTTTGACAATGAAACAGATCCCTTCCTGGGGTCTGCTTGTCTACCGCACTTCACCCTGACCCCATCATCCTCAAGTGCCAACTAGGATATTCAGGAATTACTTGTAGAATTTGAATTTGCAGAAAAAAACCTGTTTGCATTTGGAGTGGGGGCAGTTTTTGGCCAGGGCTGGGTTTGAACCTGCCACCTCTGGTATATGGGGCTGGCGCCCTACTCCTTTGAGCCACAGGTGCCACTCTCTGTTTGCATTTTCTCAGTGGTAAAATGCAGTGAAGTGAGGGGCATCACTATTTTATGTATCGCCAAAGCAAGCGAGTTATCAATTACAACTATAAGACACCTTTCAATGTCAGAGATATTAACAAGTGAAAAAAAGACAAGGCATTTCCCAGGATCAATGACACACAGAAATAACACTTTAGGTGGAAAAAAAAATCACCTCCAGATGCTCTGTGCACATCAACCATTGGATAATAAAAGCTCCTAATATTTATTGCACAAGTGCAGTGTGCCAGGCATGGATCCAAGTGCTTTAATATACTAATTCATTTAAAGATACATCTCAAATTTGGATACTTGCAAATGTGGGGAAAATGTGTTAGAGTTGAGTAAATTCAATCATAGGCACTGCCTGGCCCCAGGGGGAAGGTGGTAGACTTGGGGCCCAGTCTGTGTGCTCTCCTTCTGATTTGCTGTGTGACTCTGAGCAAGCCCCTTTCCCTCTCTGGGCCTCATTTTCCCCACGCATGGCATGCTTGGCTGTGAGTGATCCTGTCCAGGGACTCTGGGGCCCCACAGGTGTTGGCCTGCACATCCTGGAGCCCCCTTTGAGCACACACTATGCTTCAGCTCTGGCTTCCTTTGCTGTTAGGTCCCCACTGAACTGCGCAGGCCTAGACATGGTTTTTGTCACCCTCTCCTGCCACTGTTCGTTTCTGTGTTGAGATATCACATGTTCTGGAGCCACAGCCAAGAAGGCAGCAGTTCTCTCCTCCAGCAGTTTGCTGTCCATCCTGCCAGGGCTGCTCTGTGACAGGCGAGAGGATGGAGGAGGGGGTGGTCAGAGCTCCTGTGTGCCCTGGGGACTAGAGGGCAGCCAGAGCAGAACATGGGATGTGGGTGCACCGGGTTGGACGGGACCTCTAGTGACCAGTGCCTGCCACCTTGGGGTACTTGTTCCTTTGGCAGCATGGACATTTTTAGCATCAGTGCTGTCACCAGCATGGCTTTCTCCTGTGAGTCTGTGGCAGTGACCCACCTGTAGGGGAGGGTGTTGTTACCTCATTTTACAGTTGAGGAAACCAAGGTTCAGTGAGGTGAGATCCCTCACCCAAGGTCACACTGTGGGGATGGCAGTATGGTGACCTGAACCCAGGCCCGTCTAGCCACAGAGCGAGGGTGTCTCCATCTCCAGCCCTGTCTGATGGTGCGGCCTCTGCAGGTGATGGGGCCACAGGACTCTGTGCCTGTTCTGTGCAGAGTGTGAGGCTGAGACTGGGGTGGGGGGAGGAAAGACACACCGCTCTTTCTCCTTCTCTCTCCCCGCTCCTGCCTCAGTTTCTCTTTTCCATCCTCCCCACCTCTGTCTCCCTGTGTCTCCTGTGTGTCTCTCCCCTCTGGTCTTTGTCTCCCTCCACCTTTCTCCCTGAATGTCTCCCTCTCTCCTCTCGCTGTATCTTTCTGTCCTTTGTCTCCCACCTTAGTCTCTATGTAATGCCCCTCTCTGCCCCCGAGAAGGGGATCCTTTGAACCTTGTCTGGGCCTTACCAAGTCCTCACTGGGCCAAGGTGGAGGCCCAGGGTGCCACTAATGCTCGCCCCTCTCTCTGCTGTTTCCACATGTCCGGGGCTGACCCACAGCGGCCGAGCTGTGGCTACGTGCTGTGCACTGTGCTGCTGTCCCTGGCTGTGCTGCTGGCTGTGGCTGTCACTGGTGCTGTGCTCTTCCTGAACCACGCCCATGCACCGGGCACAGCACCTCCACCAATCGTCAGCACCGGGGCCGCTGGCGTCAACAGCGCCCTGGTCACTGTGGAGCGGGCTGACAGCTCACACCTCAGCATTCTCATTGACCCACGCTGCCCTGACCTCAGCGACGGCTTCGCCCGCCTGGAGGGTGCCCAGGCCTCAGTGCTGCAGGCACTGGCCGTGCACCAGGCCCAGCCTCGGCTGCCGGGTGAGCAGGAGCAGGAGCTGCTGGACACGCTGGCAGAACAGCTGCCTCGGCTGCTGTCCCGGGCCTCAGAGCTGCAGGAGGAGTGTGTGGGACTGCGGAAGGGGCACGGCACGCTGGGCCAGGGGCTGAGTGCCCTGCAGAGTGAGCAGGGCCGCCTCCTCCAGGTAAGAGGTCATGCCTTGGGGTCTTGCTGGTGGTGTAGGGGTGCTGGCACTTGATGTCCATGGGCTTCTCTCTATCCCCATGTGTCCAAGGCCAGAGCTCATTGCTTCCCATCTACAGACCAGCCTACGAGGCTCAAAGAGGTAAAGTCACTAACGTGAGGCCACACAGCTACTGGGTGTCAGGAATCAGACCCAGTTCTCCCCTGGGTTGGGTCAAAACCAGGGTTTGAAGGGAGTCCCCAGGCACTCCGGGAAACAGGTGAGATAGGACAAGGCAACTTGCTCAGGGTTGTGTGGTCAGTGTCACTAGGCTAGAGAGGACTGTACCCCTCCCAGAAGCCCATCCCAGTTCACTGCCACATGATGCCCACAGCTTCCCAGGGATGGAGAGGCCAGTCCAGCGAGCCCAGCCAAACCCTTAGCCTATCCCAAGTCTCCTCCCCTGACACCCGAATTCACTAGCCACACCAGGCTCCAGCCAGCGCCAAAGTAGGTCTGGGTGACAGATTTCTGATCCTGTCTAGGAGACCAAGCATAAGCCAGGCATTTCCCTTTCAAAGGTTATCTCATCTGCCTCTGCCATTTCCTAGAACAGAAGATTGAGGCCCAGAAAGGGGTGGTGATTTGTCCTAGGTGCCATGGTAAAGCCAGGCTGAGATCTAGCTCCCTGGTCCCCTGCCCAGCTTCTATCCAGGGCCACCTGCCCCCATGATTCAGATCCTTAGGGCTGGAGCCACTCCCCTTCCACCCACCCCATCCGGAACCGATGGTCACCCAGCAGCTCATAGCAGGGGCTTTTTCCTTCCCTCTGGAGGCTGCAGCTGACAAATCACCATCCTGATCACTCTGTCTGGATGACTGATAGGAAGGTGGCTTCCCCCTCCAGGGGGTAGAGCCAGTCC